GTTGACCCTGAGTGGTCAGCTAAATATCTACAGTGGATCTAAAATATGAATAGTTAATTATAACTAGTTATGGTTAATTATTCATATTTCCTGTTGTGAGCTAAATTCGTTACAAAGTGAATGTCCTTTTTTATTTTTTTTGTATGTATGTGTGTGTAAAAGCTCTGTATTCTGTGATGTTTATGTGATAAAGTATTGTAACCTTGAGTGAACCTGCTGTAACGCAAGACAAATTTCAGACTTGTCTGACAATAAAGTGTATCGTATCGTATCGTATCGTATTCTGTGTCGGCATTTGACTGTTTTAATTCATTTTGAAGAACACTGAATCTGAATTTGTGCAGGTGAGGTGAGTAAACACATGTTGATATTGAGTCTAGAACTACAGTAAGATCATGTTCACACACAGCGCTCTGCACTTACTCCTGATTTCTGTCTCCATGGCAACACCAGAGCTGTCACTCAACACATGGAAACAAAGTAACTCCGATATTTCCTTCTAGTTACTTAACAAAGTAATCCGATTACATAACTCACGTTACTTGTAATGCGTTACCCCCAACACTGCTTTTGAACAATTGATCTTCAGTTGATGTTTAATGTAAAATCTCGCGGTTTCACGCCGTCGCTTTAATCTCCAGAATCATGTTTGCTTACTTTGCTGAAGCGGTGTCTGGAAGACCTTCTTTGTCGCAGGTCCTTCTCCCGCCGCGGTGATCACCTGAACCTCTAACCTGTAGAAAGTGGCCGGCTGGAGGTTGGACACGACCAGAAGGTTACGATCCTGGGAAAACAAAGCAAAATACATTTTCACCAGATCCTTCATAACACAGCCACTTTTCATGGAAATGCGACAGAAATGGTTTCTATGTGAAATGACTATGTTGTGATTTATGTAGAATGGAATGGATTTTCTCTTTTCAGATTGTTCAGATCAGATTATTCCTGAAAGAAGCACGCGTTTCTCCAACATGTTTTGGCATGAAGCATCATCCGGCGCCTTCATTTTCGTGTTTGTCATGAGCTCATTGGAAATCCTTCAGATTTACTCGTTATGAAGAATGAAATCATCCATAAACACCACGGATTCCACATCATTCACACACGAGTCCAATCTGATAATGATGGCGTGCCTCGAACCGGCCTTCAGAACGGATCTGAGGAATCGTGCGGATGAGAACTGGATGCAATTGGATTTGATGTATTTCAATCTGATTGAGTCGATTAAAGCTGAACTGTTTGCTCTAGGAGGAGAGCAGCCAGTGTTATTGATGGAGAAGATCTGCTAGATGTTTGACAGCACTGATGTCAGATGAAGAATGAGCTCAAAACGACACTCAATCACTGAGAACATACTAATAACTACCATATGAACACTAATAAATTATTTACTTCAAGATAAACCTTCCCATTAGGATTGGGTGATGTAGCTGAAAATGATATCTCAATGTTTTTCATCTTTATATTTACTGTAATATTTAAAGTTTAAATATTAAATATTGTATTGATATAACTGTAATACCATGTAAATTATTTTATTAATTATTTTATATATAACCAAACAAATATTGTACTATATTAAAGAATTAATACTTATAAATAATTCTATATAAATTAGAGCCTGACCGATATGTGTTTTTTGGGGCCGATGCCGATATTAGGAAGTAAAAAAAAAAGGCAGATACCGATATATCGGCAGATATTCTTTATGTAAATATTATAGTACAGTACAAGTCAAAAGTTTGGATACACTTTCTGTGTTGTGTATTTTCTGGTAATCAAATGAACATGCAGAACAAGAGGATTTGTCAACTATAAATTATATGTTGCTATGTATTATTTTAATTAATGTAGTATATATATATGAATTAATATAAATAATTATATATAATATTTATACAGTATGTAAAATTTTTTATTATATAGTAGTTAAATTTATATCTATTTATCTATCTGTGTGTGTCACACAATTACATGCACTAAAGAAATAAAAAATATTATGTATGCATTATATTATTACTTAATATCATATCAAGTTATATTTTTATTGGCAACAAAACCCAGCTTTTCTAAATGTAAACATCTAAAATGAATAAATAATAATAATAATGAATAATATATATTTTTTTTCCACACAAAATCTGTGTTTCTGGTAATCAAATGAACATGCAGAACAAGAGGATTTGACAACTATGAATTATATGTTGCTATGTAGTATTTTAATTTATGTAGTATATAGTATATGTCATTTTATATATGAATTAATATAAATAATTATATATAATATTTATACGTAGAATTTTTTATTATATAGTAGTTAAATTTATATCTATTTATCTGTGTGTGTCACACAATTATATGCACTAAAGAAAAAAATAATATTATGTATGCATTATATTATTACTTAATATCATATCAAGTTATATTTTTATTGGCAACAAAACCAATACAAATACATTGTGAACATTTGATATACCACTCAACATGACTTCATCCAGAAAGCATCCAGATACAGTATGAGGTCTGCTCAGTAAAAGGTGACTAAAGGAGCAGCCTCGGTGGCTCACGCAGCGCTCGATTCATCAGCCGGATCCTGTGGGCCGATGCCAGCGCTGGCGTTATTCACACAAGATGATTGTGTATCATATTTTACACTCTTGGACTTGAATATGTAACCGATTTTCCATGAGAGGCGCTCCGGTGAGAAAGCGTGGGCCAAGAACACGTAACGTAAGTGTAATTTATGCAGCTTTCACGAGAGCACAGCGTGTGTGGAGACGACTCACAGGTGGCAGGATCTGAGACTGGGAAATGATGCTGTTGGGAAGGCTGTTCGGACGGCTCGCACTAGAAACCTCCGCCCACGTGACCTGGAAACCAGTGACGGGCTGAAGCGGCTGCGAACGCGACACCCTCCAGAGGAAACGAGCCGTCACGTTACCGTCGCGGAAGCTGAAGGACGCCGTCAGATTCTCAGGCTTCACCGAAACCTTCGCCAGCGCTGGAGAGTTTCAGAAAAACATCAAATATATCAGGAGACCGCACAAAAATGACACTAAACACTTCAGGATCCCAATACAGGAATGAGGTGTCAGACTCAGGACATACTGGGTAATGACAAAAACACATAAATATTATGAAAAATATGGGAAGTAATCACTGAATTCAATTTATTGAGGGTTTCATTTTAAGCACTTAGTACCAGGGTTATTATTGTTAACTAAGACTAAACACATCAGTGCTTGAAATAAAATATAAACAACTTATTTTGTTACAGTCAGTTGCCAAGGCAACATTTCTCAATTTCATTTCATTTAGGTCGACTGTACTTAAAATAACTAAATTAACATTGAAATAAAAATGAATAAAATAGGTATATTAACAAAAAAACGTAACAAACGTGAAAACATGCACAACAAAATTAAGAAAATTTTTACAATTAAAAGGGGAAATAAAACTAATAATACATTTTTAAAAAATGGGGGAAAAAACTAAAACTTTACTGCAAATAAAACTAATAAATAGATTTTAAAAAGTGAAAACAAAAACTTTAACTAATGGAAAACAGAAATTATAAAATTAATTTACATTTTAATATAATCTATAATAGTATATCAGTGATAATAAAATACTGTTAGTATGGGCTCAAAATAACACTCCATCTCAGTTTAATTACTGTTAACTAAAATGATCTGGAAAAAATAACATTTATATAAATTCACAAATCTAAAAATAAATGTTAACAGAACTAAAATAAAACCAAACCTTCAGGTATGCTTTTCAGTAAATGTTTCAGTTAGTTGCGAAGGCAACATTTCTAACTTTAGTTGAAGTACTAAAATTACAAAATCTAAAACGGAAATAAAAATGTATAAAAACATTTAAAAAAAAAACTAAAAATGACAAAAACACAACAAAATTAATAAAACAAAAAAAATCAAAAAAACTATTAGACATTTAAAAGAAAAACAAAATCTAATGACAAAAACAACAAAATTATTAAAAAGTTAACTTAAAATAAAATGAAATCCTTTATAAAATACAAAACAGAACTTGTGTGTGTGAAGTACTAGAAGTACTAAGTCTGAAATAAATGTATAAAAACGATACAGATATTTAATAAAAATGACAAAAACATGCAATAAACATACTAAAACTATAACGAAATTGGAAAATAGAAAACTAAACATTCAAAAATATTTAAAAAACTATAATAGTAAATAAATGATACTAAAATAACACTGCTGGTACAATGTAAATGTAATGTGCAGCCACAATAGGCTATAATATAGTAACAAAAGACAAATACATTCTCTTAAATAAACCTGATTTTTTTTCCCCCCTCACTTCAATCCCTCAAATGTCATATTTCAAGCTAAACGTATGACCTGTATGTAGTCTGCAAACAAACACTCCTAATGAGTGATAAGCGCCTCCGTGCTTACGTGCGTCTCCGGGACAGGCGATGGGTTTGACGCTCTTGCTCTGGAGAGTCGCGCAGGACGGCGTCAGGAAGCTGATGCTCTCGTCTTTGGAGCGTCGTTTAGCGCTGAGCACGTGAACGGTGACTCTGTACTTACAGGAGAACAGCAGACCGGGGAGATTGATGAAGTTCTCCTGCAAAAGAGAAACACGTTTATCAGAGTGACCTGTGGAAGAATGCAACTACAATTGTACATTTTATGACGAAAACAGTGGTGTTTGTTCATGCAAATGTCTCATGTATGATTCTAATGTGTTGCAGTTAGCAGCCACCTCAAAACACAGTCCCAAGCAACGTCTAAAGATATGGAAGGTGGATGGGGCCAAAAGTCTTTATACAAAACGTGTGAAATTTGACCGTGTCAACATCTAGTGTTTGTCCACATTAACGTGACAACATGCACAGCAGCCAATTACATTTCTGTATTTGAGACCATAATTGCATATGTGATGTGAAGACTGGTATGTTATATTTGTTCATGAAGGATAATGCATCGGTACATTGTGTGTGTGATGTCAGTCTTGTGTCATGATTTTCATGTCCTTTTTAGCTGTTTAGTTTAACATTCTTTTTCAGGTAGAACATTTTTAAATTTACATTGTAACATTAATTTACTCTAGCACAATAGATATCAGTGAAGCAATGCCACAATAAACTAAAGAAATGATTCATGCGTGGCTAAATCTAGAGGCAAATCTGCTTTAAAACGTATTGCATGCACAGCCAGAATTCGACTTAACGTGGTAAAATGTTGCGTCTTTACACATACTAAATAAACGTGGCAAAAAACTGACGTCTTAACGTTCAAAACAGCTGTGTTAGCTCAGACGAACAGTGTGTGTTGACACTTTCAAACTTCATGCATTCCATTTAAAATTTTTGGCCCTTTCTGCCTTCCATATAAAATTGCATTACATTCATCTATTACATTTGATCAGTTAATTTCCCTGGAAATCAAACCCATGACCTTGGCATCACTAACACTCACTACTGCTCTACTGTTTGAGCTACAGAACACCATAGCAACAAAGTAACAACCACTTAGAACATTCTAGCATTGTACACAGCGATGACCTAGCAACCACCTACTACACTTTATAAACTGCATAGCATCATTCTAGCAGCCCCATAGCAACTAGAACTCCTTAGAAACTGCATATCAACACCCTAGCAACCACCCAGAACACCTTAGAAGCTGCATAGCAACATTTTAGCAACCCCATAGCAACTAGTACACCTTAGAAACTGCATAGCAACACATTAGCAACCACCTAGAACATCTTAACAACTAGGGTAAACGTACCTATTAAGCTCACCAAAATCTACATTGAGACATTTTGAGTGCACAAGACATCAGTTTCAGTACTAGCAATTGTTAAAATAAAATATTAAGCTCTCACACAATAATATTCAATTTTATTTTAAAAGACAAAAGCATTTCAATTAAGATCATTAAACGCAAAAAGTCTGGCTGTGCTTAATGGGTACATGTTAGAAACTGCACAGCAACACAATATCAACCACCTATAACATCTTAGCTACTACATAACAATGGCCTAACAACCAGCCGGAATGCCTTAGAAGCTTCATAACAATGCTCTAGCAACCACATAGAACACCTTAGCAACTACACAGAAAAACCCTAGCAACCAACTGCAACCTCATAGCATTGTCCTGACAACCACCCAGAATACCTTAGAAACTGCATAGCAACACCCTAGCAACCACCTACAAAACCTTAGCAACCCCATAGCAATGTCCTGACAACCACCCAGAATACCTTAGAAATTGCATAGCAACACCCTAGCAATCAGCTTGAACACTATAGCAACCCCAGAGCAACATCCTGGCAACCACCCAGAACAATTTACAAACTGCATAGCGACACCTAGAACATAGCAATGTCCTGGCAACAAGTCAGAAGACCTTAGAAACTGCATAGCAACACTCTAGCAACCACCCACAGCACAGAAAACATAATAGAAACTGTATAGCAACACCCTAGCAACCAGCTTGAACACTATAACAATCACCCAGAACAATTTAGAAACTGCATAGTAACACCTAAAACACCTTAGTAACCCCATAGCAATGTCCTGGCAACCAGTCAGAACACCGTAGAAACTGCATAGCAACACCCTAGCAGCCACCCAGGACAGAAAACATTAGAAACTGTATAGCAACACCGCGAACATCTTAGCAACCACATAACCTAGCAACCAGTCAGAACACCCTAGAAACTACATAGCAACCAACCAGAATACATAACCCCAGAGCAACATCCTAGCAACCACCTAGAACACTTTAATAACTGCATAGCAACACCTATAACACCTTAGCAACACCCTGGCAGCCCCCCACAACACTCGAGCTTTTCCCTAGCAACCACAACACTCATCAATGACATTTAACAAGTAAACAACGATCCCATTATCTTTGGAAAAGGTAAAAATGTAGTTTTTCAGTCATGAGGCAGAAAGCGAATGCGTGTTTCCGAGCAGCAAGCGCGCGGCTTGGGCCCGCAGGTTAAGGCTCCGCTGGGGCCGCTCTGGGGGTTTGATAAATTCACTCCCGCTTCCTGGAAATGTGATTTTAATGCCTGTGTTTTCTTAGGCACTGGAGCACATTCTGAGCACATCATCTGAAACAACACACGCTAATCAGCTGCAGTAATGAAGAGAAATGAACACGAACTCACAAACCTGAGTCAGTGATTTCTGCGGCGCTCCGCTTCGGTTGTGGCTGCAGTATTCAGGCATCCACTGAACGTGATAGCGGTTCACAGCAGCGTCTGCAAACCAAACATCAACACAAACATCTCACAACACTCACATATTCAGTGAAAACTGTGGGAAAACATCTCTTGATCATTTGAACTTTGAGATTTTAGAGGTTTTTACAGTAGATTACTTTTCAAATTGTAATCCATTACTGATCCCAAATTACAAGACAAAAATTGTAGTCAGTGGCGTAATCCACTACATTACATATTTTAGGAAACATAATCAGACTACTTTTTGATTACTTTTGATGTAACATTTTTCACATTGTTTTAAACAGTTTAATTTTGTATCATATTGATATAAAATACAAAGAGAAATTTTTTATTTTTTTTTTTTGGTAAAAAAAAAAGTGAATTAAAATCATTGTTATTTTTCTAAATTGGGCTAAAAATTTGAAATATAAATAATAATAATAATAATAATAATAATAATAATAATAATAATAATAATAATAATAATAATAATAATAATAATAATAATAATAATAATAATAATAATAATAATAATAATAATAATAATAATAATAATAATAATAATAATAATAATAATAATAATAATAATAATAATAATAATAATAATAAATAATGATAATAATAATAAATTAAATTATTTTAATTTTCTAGTTTGTTTAAAAAGTTAAAGATATTGTTTCATTCTGCGTCTCGCTTTTTTATCAACTAGTCATTTTTATCTAAATTAGACTAAATTAAAGAAAAATAAATAAAATACATATGCACTATAGCACTACATACAGCCGTAAACCGAAATATTGACATACAGATATTTACTAAAACACTTTAATATATGAAAAATGACATACAGACACTTCAATTATTATTTAATTATTATATTTTGAAAACGTGGTGGTCAAAAAGTGCATTAAAATCATTGTTATTTAATAACATAAATCACAAGAATAATATATCTATAAAATAAAATAAATAATAAATAAAATGTTAATTTTCTAGATATTCTTTCATCCTGTGTCTCATTGTTTTATCAACTAGTCTTTTCCTAAATTTGACTAAATAGAAAAAACATGGAAAATAAATGAAATAATAAATAAATTTAATTATTTAAAAAGTTCTAGCTTGTACTACAAAAAGTTCAAGATATTTGTCTATTTGTCATCCTGCATCTTACTTTTTTATCAACTAGTCATTTTTATAAATTAGACTAAATTAAATATAAGAAACATGTGCATGAAAAAAGTGCATTCAAATTATTTCAAGATTCGAGTTGCATGAAGAGAAAATAATGACAGCATTTGAATTGTTGTCTGAACTGTTCCTCTGTTTATTGTCATGAAGTACCTGTGCGTTTCTTGGAAAAAGGCATAAAAGTGAAAAGTTTCCTCCTGCGGCGCGATTACAGAACAGTAGAGGCTCGCTGCGCTAATCAGCAGTGTTTATGCAACGCCTCCCGTTTATTATTCATCAAACTGCGCCGTTTGGACGTCAAGCGATACATTTCAGATTAATAATGGAGTTGGACGGGCTCCGGCCCTTCAGAGGGACTCGACTGCGGTCGGCCAGATAAAAGAGCCTTTGAAGGAGCCGACGTGAAGCTCAGAACATTTCTGGAAGCAGAAAAAAGGAATCGCAGCTGGAGATGAAGAAAAAATACAGAGTAAAATAAACAAGTGCTGCGTCCGAAAGCTGAAAAATGCGGTTACACTTTACTTGAAGGGGTGTGCATAAGACTGACATGACACATGTCATGAATATGAAGGAGTGTTTATGCATGTTTATGACAGCTGTCATTAAGTGTCATTCGCTCAGTTATGTCATTTTAATGCAAAGATGACATTGTTTGACCTAACCCTAACCTAACCCTAATAACCCATAACAAAGACATCTCAAACAATGTCATCTTTGCATTAAAATGACATAACTGAGCGAATGACACTTAATGACAGCTGTCATAAACATGCATAAAAACTCATGTGACGTGTCATGTCAGTCTTATGCACACCCCTTCAAGTAGTGTAACCAAAAATGCTCCTTCGCACGCCGTATTCAGAGGAACCATCCATTGAATTATTGAACATTTTCTAGTTGTGATATAAAGTTAAAGACATTTTGTTTTCCTGCATCTCATTTTTCTAGACTAAATTAATTAACTTATTCTAAATTTTGTAGTTTGTATTTTAAAAAGTTTTATCAACTAGTATTTTTTTTCTAAATTAGAAAACAAATGTAAAATAAAAAAATACATACATAAATATATAATTATAAATAATTTTCTTGTTAGTGCTATAAAAATCTGAAGATATTCTGTCATCCTGCATCTCACTATTTTATCAATTAATAATTTTTCTAAATTACACCACATCAAAAATTTTAAAATAAATGAAATCATTCTAAAAGTTCTGAAATGTTCAAAATAATTTTTCATCCTGCATCTCACTGTTTTATCAAGTAGTCATGTTTCTAAATTAAACTAAATAAAAAAATGTTGAAATTAAATAAAATAATAAATAATACATTAAGTTATTCTAAATTTTCTAGTTTGTGCTTTTTTTTTCTAGTCAAGATAGTTTGCACTATGAAATGTTCAAGATATTTGTCATCCTCCATCTTGTTGTTTTATCAACTAGTAATTTTTTCTCAATTAGACTAAATTAAACTTTAAAAATAAATGTAATAAAGCAATTAAAATATCAGATTTTTTTAGTTTGTTCAATAAAAAGTCGAAGATTTTTTTTGTCATCCTGCATCTCACTGACCATGAAGTCTTTTTGTAAAAAAAAAACTAAATTAAATAACAAATAAATAATAAATTATTCTAAATTATTTTAGTTTGTGCTATAACAATTTTGTCATCCTGCATCTCACTGATTATTCAACTAGTTTCCAAAAAAAAAAAAAGAAGAAAAAACGCCAAGTAACTATTAAATATTTGACCCTGGAGCACAAAACCAGTCTTAAGTGTCATTTTTTTTAAAATTGAGATTTATACATCATCTGAAAGTTTTCCATTGATGTATGGTTTGTTATGATAGGACAATATTTAGCCGAGACACAACTATTTGAAAATCTGGAATCTGAGGGTGCAAAAAAATCTAAATATTGAGAAAATCATCTTTAAAGCTGTGCAAATTAAGTTCTTAGCAATGCATATTACTAATCAAACATTAAGTTTTGATATATTTACGCTCGGAAACTTACTAAATATCTTCATGGAACATGATCTTTACTTAATATCCTAATGATTTTTGGCATAAAAGAGAAATGTATAATTGTGACCCATACAATGTATTGTTGGCTATTGCTACAAATATCCCCCAGCGACTCAACACTGCTTCTGTGCTGCAGGGTCACATTTGTCGCTCTGCACATCTCTAGCTGGAATATCTTGAGTGTGAGTGTGTGATTTCTGTCTGAAGCAGAAGTGAGATTAGTTCAGCTTGAGCTGCTGCTTTGAGTCCAGCAGAATAAAAGCTCTGAGCAGGATCTGAGTCAGCAGAAACACAACAGCACGACTCACATGAACAGCTCAGACTGTGAAAGAGAATCACAATCAGCAGCTCCAGACCGGAGCATCATCATCAGGTTTCGCTCATTCACACGCTTCACAGCGACGTAACACAGAGCAGCGAATACGGCTCGACAGGAGCGTGAGGTTTTAATATTCCCCCTCCAGCAATTAAACTCAGCTTACAAGCTAATGAAATACAACATGTGAGGTCGTTCTCAGTGACTGTGTGGACGTCACGCTCCGGCACCGTTCAGAAATCAGTTAAAAAGACTCATTTGCAATTAAAATTTGAAAAAAAAAAAAATTAAGGATGTAAAATTAAAGCTGAATAAATTAAAATGACTTCACATCACTAATGTTGGTGTAGTTTTTAATAATATATTTATTTTTCTTTATGGATCACCCATATACAGCAAATGCATTATTTCCAGAAACATTACATGCTGTTAATAATCAAGTTGAAAAATGTAATTTAGATATTAAATAAATTGGACATTTCGTGAGCCATGTCAAAAGTGCAAAAAAAGAACACTTCATTTCATAGAATGCTAAAATGTAATCCTAATTTGGTCAGTTATGTAAATATTAATGGATAAAATATTTAAATGCTCATTAAAATTATCCAGTATTTAAATAAATAAAATGTAAGATATTTTGTCATCCTGCATTTCAATGATTTAGCAGCTAGTATTTTTGAAAAAAAAAAAAACATAGAACGAATAAAGTTATTCCCAATTTTCTAGGTTGTGGTATAAAATAATGAAATACTAAATTATAATTAAAATGTAATGGCTTAAAATTAAATTGGTTTTAATGGCTGTTAATTAATTATTGTAAGTATTGAACTTACGTTGATATACATCTATGTATTCTAAAAATGAGAAAATAAACAGTCAGCATAATTATTCTAAAACTAAAAATGACTCTAAAAGAGTTGTCAACTGACTCAGAATTATATAAACTGACTCAGAGTTGTACTGTAAATTGATTGATTGACTGAAATGTTTGAACTGATTCACAAATAATGAATCACAGGAAGTTCATTAGACTGATGTTGAGTGTAACTGGGTTCTTTGATGTGTGTGTTGTTGTGTGTGTTATGTGTGTGTTGATGTGTGTGTTGTTGTTGTGTGTCTGTGTGTGTGTGTGTTGTTGTTTGTGTTGATGTGTGTGTGTGTGTGTGTGTGTTGTCTGTGTTGTTGTTGATGTGTGTGTTGTTGTGTGTGTGTTGCGTGTTGTTGTCTGTGGTGTTGTTGTTGTTGATGGTGTGTGTGTGTGTGTGTGTGTGTGTGTGTTCTCTGTGGTGTTGTTGATGTGTGTGTGTTGTCTGTGGTGTTGTTGTTGATGTGTGTGTGTGTGTGTGTGTGTTGCGTGTTGTTGTCTGTGGTGTT